AGGTTCCACTATATTCTTTCCCAGGAGAAGAGATGAAGAGAAGAAAAGATAAAGAATAGATATGCCTCTAAAACTACTAAAAGAATTTTGGCCAAATTCAGGCTGAAATTTTCTACTGTTCCAAATAAATTTGCGTGACTCTTTATTTTAATTTTTTTTAGTTAAAACGAAATAAACAAATCATTTGAATCTGAAATATAAAATGGAAAGCAATTGTAAACCTCTTCAATCTATCTAGAAAGCATGCCCTGGAGAGGGGGGAAGGGCAGTTATCCTAACTATTTTTTTGAGGATTGGAAATCTGACGGAAATTGGAGAAAAGCCCTATTATCGTACCCTAGACTGATGAAAGTAATTAAATTTTAAGGAAGTCTGGAAATCATTTTTACACTAGCTTAGTGTTTTTCCTGCTGTACATTAGAAACATGAAGATCAACAATATTCTTGTAATTTTTTAAAATCTACTTTGCAGTGCTGATAGAAAATCACTTAATAGCACCTACAATACACAGTCTGCAGAAGTCACAATTAGCTGACCTACAGAAACACAAATATATTAATTCAAGTAGTCTCCTATGCATTTTAAGGTTCTAAGAAACAGTTATGTTATTACATTTGAAAGTGAATTTGAGTGTGATTTTCTTTGCCCACTGCATTAGTAGCAAGTCTGTGATTTCAATTACTCTCTCTGGGGCTTTAACTTTTTGATATGTTCTGAGTAGGGACGCAGTCGCGCTCCCATTCCTCAGTGGCGCAGCACTATATTAATGCCTTGTTCTTGTTGCAATTCTAAGTGTTGAGGCTTTCTAAATGAGGCTAAACGTTTCTGGCAAAATTCATTCTGAAACTAGCTGTACGTTGTTTTCATCATTTACGGTTTTCAGTCTTCCAAGAGCAAGTCTCAGATCCTTTGGTACATAAAGACTTAATCTAAGAATAAGTAACTGCAAATTCTAGACATGACACATGCAGGTTTGTCATTGATGGGACTCAAAAACAAACATGACTTGTGTCGTGCTGGCACAGGTTAAGAATTACACAACCACAGACTACAAGTAACTCTATAGAAACAAGACTTCTGACATTTGAAAAAGGCAATCTAACAGACCCAAAGCATAACATGTTTTTCCTGGTGGAAAGTGATGGAAAAAGTATCAGTGTAGGAAGAAGGTACACGTTTTAACACAGAACATAATGCTCAAAGGACAAGTTTGTCCACCCTTTTCAAAAGAATGTTCCAGTTTAACTAGATAATACAGATTCCTGTGGGGCTTCGTGGGTGATAGGCTTTGGCTGGTGATAAGCAGGAGGTTACCATGGATGAGCATAAATTCCTTTCTAGAATTAGCTCTGGGAAGCTCCGTGTATGTATTTGAATAGTTTTGCATGCTGAGTTTAGGAGGTGCCATTTCAACTTTCCGTATATCTTTCAAATACTGTACAACATTTTGTAACATAAGCACGTGTCTCTCTGGTTGAATGGACTTCCAGAAAATGAATGAAGACACAATTCTGCTGTAGTAAATGATAAAGTTTTTATGTAGAGTGGGGCCATTCTCTTATAGAAACCAATGTTTTCAGAACATGATAGATTATAGTACTTCGGCTGTAAATACATTTAGGCCGAAATCTGAAAAGTGTTGAAACCCTCAGAGCAGGAAGGTTGAAAAATCCAATTTTAGTGGCTAGTTCACACTGATCTCAAGTAGTTAAAAATGAAACATGATCAGCTCACAGAAGGAATTATATGACATGGCTACCTGCAATGGCAGAAGTCTGGCTTAATGACCTATACGCTTTCTATCCTATCTTTTTGTTTTCAGAAAATGCATTTATTTGGAAAAAGGATTGGCTACTACTCCCCAAGTAGAGTCCTACCCCAAAGAGCCCTTTTGGGATCCCTTTTCACTTAAGCTTTTGAGGTATACTGGGACAACTCACATGTAGAAGGCTTGTTTAGTAGGAAACAATGTCAGAATCTTACCTTTACATTTTATGTAGTAGGAACATGAACATTTAGGTATCAGTGTCAACTAAAATATAAACAAAAGAAGAAAAAAATGTCCTTCCTTTCCTATTATGCAGATATTGAAAGTATTTTCATACTGTTTTGAAGCACACTGGGATTTACTTGTGACTTACGAATTAAACATTTAATTAAAAATAGTAGCATCTTGTTTTGACTCTACCACCAATTTCTTGTTTCGCCTTGATAATATGTCAAATTTAAAATTAATACTGCACATTATAAAACTCAAATTACACTTTTTGCATAGCGAATTCTTCAAAGGTACCCCAAGGAAAGTAACTTACAATACTAAGAATAAAGAAGTTGAAGGCCGATTTCAACATAATTTGGTAGAATCCTGGTTACACGACTTCCTCAACTACTTTGTTTACTGCTTTGGAATAGCCACACAAAATAGCCAAAGTTTAAAATGTTAAACTTTGCCACAATATAAAAACTGAATAAATGGATTATCTGCAGCCCAAACACAACTTACCTTTCAAGACTCACTGGGCCAAGAAGGTCTACTCTGGACACTATAAAGGATAGTTAGCAGTTCCGAACACATTCGCTAGCAACAACCTTATGTCCAGCTCTAAGTAACCCCACAACGCTCAAGTGAGCTGGACTTGCTTTATGAGCCTTAACTGACCCCAGTCACTGTTGGCCATGTGCTGTCCAGACACAACAGCATCCACATTAGTGTTCAACTTGCTTTGGAAATTGAACCTTGCATTTGAAAAAACTGCTTATTTCTGAAGCTGCCTCCAAATTCACCCTTTAGCATCCTTCAGCAGTTCTCTTCCTAATCCAAACACACAGCAATGTCACATTTTTGCAAAATTATATTTTTGCAAAGCAGCACTAGGACCTATAGAGATGATGATGTTGCACTTGACTACCTTTTAAACCCTTCAGGTTATGCCAGTAGCAAATATTACTGCTACTGATTTCTAAAAATTAATATGGTATTCATTTTTTCTAAGAGAAAAAAATAGATTAATGATTTAATTCCTGAGTAAAATGGTAATGTTTCAGTGTCTGCTGCAATGCAAAGTTAATAATATCTACTTTTTAGACTAGTCATGCTTAGAACAAGTGCGTACGCATGCACACACAAAGACACATACCACAACATGTCTACACACAGAAGTCTAACAACCCTTTTTCCTCTTTGAGATGCATAGAGGGATTATACACAAGTTAATTTTGAAAACTAAATGGGAAAATACTTATGTTAGCCTTCTTTACATGTTTTGGAAGGGAAGCTTCTTGGCCTGCACCTGTGTCTAGTGGATCTATGTCAACATGAGGCAAAGGTTTACCGCTTTTACATACTCTAAATAAGATGTTTCTGAATATAACCCATATTAAATAAAATTAAATTAACTTTGTGATCAGAAAGTGTAACAAGGAAGTTTCAGCAGAAATTCAGCTTACTGAACAGGATCAGGTGGCTCAACGATTTTATGGGAGCATTACAAGATAGAAACCAACCAGAGTAAGCGTCTCCCAAGTTAACAGAAACAAGTCTGTGCAATCAAAACAATGCTGCGAACAACAAAAAAAGTTTGCAGTGCATAAACATTGTAGGGCTCTTAGCCTACTTATACGCAACTCAATACAGAAGTCTTTCCTTTCTAGGTTTTGTACTGTATCTAGAGGAATTTCAGTGAAATATTGCTCCTCTAGTCTTGAGAGAGTAAAGCTATACCCCTCCAGCAGAACCAAGTCAGGTAACACTCTGTCCTAACGTGGCGAATTGATTTTCCTGTCCTCTGCTTTTAGGACGCAAAGTATATTTCTCCTCAACACATACACAACTTCTATGTTAACACACGTGCATACAGCTTGGCAGAGGTAGAAACTGCCCTTTTTCATGATAGGCTCTACAGTTTACAGTTAAAGGTCAAGCAAAAGGAAAAGCTAAACTAAATACACAGCAACTTTTAATAGGAGCTATACAGCATATCGTGCTACAAAACAACAGGTATCTTTAGCAGCAGTCTCTTAAAATAGTATTTCACAGGGGAGCACAAGAAAATAGCACAAAGACTAGAAGAACAAGCATTATCCTTTAAAAAACACAAACAAACAAAAAAATAAAATCAAATTTTAAAAAGCATCCAAAAACCAGAAGACGAAAATGCATTACAGTTTCCAGGTGTAAGAACATAAATAAGAGATGGGACATGACCCTTTGTTGTACATCATTTCATCTAAAAGTTTAAGATGAACGATTTGGTGTTAAGTAATAATTGGGTTTCCTTCCAAGAAATTCTTTTTGGCTAATATTTTTGATATATTATTAGTCAATAGAACTTAAGAAGGGGGATAGTGGAGTAACGGAAAACATGCACCGATGGCATAAACATACACTGATGGTATTCTGGCATATACTGAGCAATGTAATAGAGAGTTACTTTCTCTCCACTAAGTGAACGCACACCTTTTCCCCACAAAAAAGGAGCAACTTCACTTGTAAAAGGTAAGAAATTTGGCTTTTGTATAAACTGAAGGAATAAAAAAAGGAAAAAATAAGATATCACATATTTCTATAGAGATTTATCATCTCTACAGTTCCAGTCAATAAGAATTTGCTTACTTTGAAGGAACCATTTTGCAGTTTATAAGCTGTCTTTCTTTTAGATTATGTGATTTTATTTGTGCTTGAGTCAAGAGAAGAGAAACATGAAAATCTAGACTTTAAGCAGGCATAGTATTGTTTCAAATTGTAAAAAAAAAAAAAAAAAAAAAAGTCAAGTCCTCTAATGGCATGCTTTACTGCAATAGATCATGTTTTACAAAAATGGATACCAGAGTATGTGTTTTTATCTTGGCAGAAACAGTTGGATCAACAAGAAAAACACCATCTTTTACAAGCTACTGCAGTGGTCCATAATACAGTTTCTGACAATAGGCAAAGGGTCATCTCTCATGGCAAGAGTAGCTTCCAGCATGGGATAAAAATAGAAGGAAACATTTGACGTACTTGGATCTGACAAGATTGAGTCGGTTTTCGGCAAAAATTGGTCACAGCGAACTCCTTGGTAGCCCTCTTTGCACCTGAGAAAAAGGGGATAAATGACAAACATATGCATGCGATAGTAAAAGGTTAATTTCAAGAGAGCAAATCACCTGAAATTCTCTCTGCAGTGCTGCAAGGGCCCTGTATATTACCAATTATTTGAACTATTATGGAAGCAAGATTATTACTGAAATAAAATGAGACTACATAAAACCATTCGAATTCCAAGAAATTCTCCTCAACTCTTTTTGAATATTTTCGAAATTATCAAAAGAAACATCATTTATAAATAACTCTTTTAAAAATATCAATTCAGTTTAACAATCAAAGAAAAATATTCTATAAAATAGATATATTTGTAGTAAAATTAATTCATTAAGACAACACACAGCTTTATAAAGTTCCCGTACCGCACAAGCCATCAGACTTGCAGCTTATTCATCTTCGGCTCTTCAAATAAGAAGGCAACGCTCCTCTAGCCATTAATTTTAACACTAGTTTCTACTTTGTTTAAAAGATAACATGTTCAGGCATATATGAGCAATGTTAGCCATTGCTTGTAAGTGAACTGTCTCTGCTACCTGCGGAGTTAGATTTTCTAGCACATAAACCAGAAAGCCCTCTGCCTTAATAAACTTCAATTGGTTTTTGATTAAGCTTCTAATACTATTACTTATTCTGAAACTTTGAAGAAGTCCCACTTACTGCACTTGGATTGTTTTCAAAACAGTACTCGGCCATTCGGCTAAGTGTGTCAGAATCAGGCTTTTAATTATTTATTTGTTAAAGCTTTTCAGAGAACAGTGACGGACACTTTAATTATAAATGATAGCAACAAGGACTCTGCATCTCCCAGAGCTCTTGCACATCACACAAACAATCTGCTCACATCAGCGCTGGCACCTTCATTAAGACTGACAGCTGCGCCTTGACTTACGAAGTAACGTCAGGAACAGAAGTAATCTGGCTCCTTCGCAATGTTTCTACTCAGCCTTCCTCTAAAAGTCGTCTTTTAAAATGGCTTTGAGTTAATAAATTAATGCTTCAGCAAGAAATGCATCTCACCAGCTTAGATTCTGAGATTAGAAAGCATATTCGTGAAAAAATATGTAAGTTACAAATATTCCCATCAGAGTAGATCCAAAGTGTAGTACAAACCTACTGTCAGAAGAAAACACAAGCATTATTTCAAAACCTCTTTTTATGCCTTTCTTCCTGAAGGATACCAAGTGCTACTTCGGAGATCAGCTTCGCATTAGTATTTGTCTATTTATAAAATGACGCATAAGAAAAAATGAATTCAGATCCCCTGGCAGTTGTCACAACTTTTAAGTCAAGGAAAAACTGTTCTAATATATTTTTATATAATGCATAATATTCTGTGAAACCTTGCCCACTGGGCACAAAAATGAAGATCAGTAGTCTTCATGTACTCACTGCTGCATGCATTTTTTGGCCTCCGATTACAAAATACAAAAAAGTTGCCTCCCTTCAAATATACTCTTCTCCACAGTCTTAGACTGGGTACACTGCGTTTCAAAGCTTAACAACAGCCCACACAGGTGGGGATATTCCTGTCTTCGTGTCAGCACTTTCTATCAACTCTCTGATAGACATTTGTACCTGCCTCACTTCCTAGTACTGTATTACAGACTTAAAACCCTGTGGACCTAAGCTGAGGGTCTGAAAGTCATAGAATTGCTGTTCACACAGCCTAGCCCCACAGATAAGAACCAGGCTGCTCTGTGGGAGGAGGAAGAGCCCCTGCGCGGTGACTCCCGGGAGAGCGGCACCGCGGCATGAGCACCGCTCCGGCGGGCCCAGCTGGAGCAGAGCTATCGGGACCCTCCTCGGACCGAGCCCTTCCTCTCTGAGGGCTGCCTGGGCACGGCGGCACCACGCATCCTGCGTCTTTCCTTCCCACATCATTCTGCTCCGCACCTAACGAAAACAGAAGCCTTCGACCATCCCATTTCAGAGCTGAGAAAGAGTCTGCACCGTTTATTCCAGCTGCTTGATGGTCAAGGAGTTTACGTGCTCATGCCAGAACTGAGTGAGAAAAATTTTGTTACTCTCAGCTGCCACAGTAGGTGACCCTCCGGGGGTCTCTCTTCCAATCCTAACAGCTGTGTCAGGGGCCAAGCCAAATATTAGTCTTTCAGTTTAGGAAGGTATTTTTCATATCTGGCGAAAGTGACAAAAGGCTCTGAGGATATTTTATCTTCAATTTGTTGTTGTTTAGAAGGGTTACATTTTACAAGCTGCAAATACAGCAGATGCCTACAAAGTTGGGGGCCCTGAAAACAATCTGATGTGAGACTCCCCTAAGAGCTTAAGTATGACCCAAGTGTAAAACACTAAGTTAGACGCATTTTCATGCCTTTGATTTCTTGACTGTAGAAGAACAATGGGCTGGAACAGAATATAACAGTCTCCTTCAGATTCACAATGCCTTCCTTGTAAAACTCGGCATCCCCAGGACCCAACTGAACTCCACGCTGCCACAGCTATGTTGTGCAACCTGAAGCTAATGATGGGGATGGGTTTGCACTTACAAATGTACTGGCTGTCATATCAAACTATTGTTTTTATCCTGATTATATCATATACATGTACTGCTGCACGCTGTCGCTTGTCTCCATCAGTGTGAAACTGCATGCAGTAATCACCTGGTTGATTGACCTGGATGAGTCTGAAGTAACACTTTCACTTACGTGTACATATCACAGAATCACAGAATCGTTTAGGTTGGAAGGGACCTCTGGAGATCATCTAGTCCAACCTCCCTGCTCAAGCAGGGTCCTCTAGAGCATATTGCCCAGGATCACATCCAGATGCGTTTTGAATATCTCCAGCGAAGGAGACTCCACCACCTCTCTGGGCAACCTGTTCCAGTGCTCTGTCACCCTCACAGTGAAGAAAGTTTTTTCTCAGGTTCAGATGGAACTTCCTGTGGTTCAGTTTCTGCCCATTGCCTCTTGTCCTGTTGCTGGGCACCACGGAGAAGAGGCTGGGGTCCTCCTCTTGACACTCCCCCTTCAGATACTTGTACACGTTGATGAGATCCCCTCTCAATCTTCTCTTCTCCAGGCTGAACAGGCCCAGCTCTTGCAGTCTTTCTTCAGAGGAGAGGTGCTCCAGCCCTCTAATCATCTTGGTAGCCCTCCGCTGGACTCTCTCCAGGAGTGCCATGTCTCTCTTGTACTGGGGAGCCCAGAACTGGACACAGTACTCCAGGTGAGGCCTCACCAGGGCTGAATAGAGGGGCAGGATCACCTCCCTCGACCTGCTGGCAACACTCTGCCTAATGCACCCTAGGATCCCATTGGCCTTCTTGGCCACAAGGGCACACTGCTGGCTCATGTTTAACTTGTTGTCCACCAGCACTCCCAGGTCCTTCTCGGCAGAGCTACTTTCCAACAGGTCAGTCCCCAGCCTGTACTGGTGCATGGGATTATTCCTGCCTAGGTGCAGGACCTTGCACTTGCCTTTGTTGAACTTCAGGAAGTTCCTCTCCACCCATCTCTCCAGCCTGTCCAGGTCCCTCTGAATGGCAGCACAGTCTTCTGGTGTGTTAGCCTCTCCCCCCCGTTTAGTATCATCAGCAAACTTGCTGAGGGTGGACTCTGTCCCTTCCTCCAGGTCATTGATGAATATATTGAACAAGACTGGGCCCAGGACTGACCCCTGGGGGACACCACTAGCCACAGGCCTCCAACTTGACTCTGCGCCATTCACCACAACCCTCTGAGCTCGGCCATCCAGCCAGTTCTCAAGCCACCTCACCGTCCACTCATCTAGCCCACACTTCCTGAGCTTACCTCGGAGGATGTGATGGGAGACAGTGTCAAAAGACTTGCTCAAGTCCAGGGAGACAACATCCACTGCTCTGCCCTCATCTACCCAGCCAGTCATTCTGTCATAGAAGGCTATCAGATTGGTCAAGCATGATTTCCCTTTGGTGAATCCATGCTGACTACTCCTGATCACCTTCTTGTCCTCCAGATGCTTAGTGATGACCTCCAGGATGAGCTGTTCCATCACCTTTCCCGGGATGGAGGTGAGGCTGACAGGCCTGTAGTTTCCTGGCTCCTCCTCCTTGCCCTTTTTGAAGACTGGTGTGACATTGGCTTTCTTCCAGTCCTCAGGCACCTCTCCTGATCTCCAGGACCTTTCCAAGATGATGGAGAGTGGCCTAGCGATAACATCCGCCAGCTCCCTCAGCACTCGTGGGTGCATCCCATCAGGGCCCATGGATTTATGGATGTCCAGTTTGGACAAAAGATCTCTAACCTGATCCTCCTCCACCAAGGGAGAGTCTTCCTTTCTCCAGACTTCCTCCCTGGTCTCCAGTGTCTGGAATTCCTCAGGACTGGCCTTAGCAGGAAAGACTGAAGCAAAGAAGGCATTCAGCAACTCTGCCTTCTCTGTATCCTTCGTCACCAGGGCACCCACCCCATTCAGCAGTGGGCCCATGTTTTCCCTAGTCTTCCTTTTGTTATTGATGTATTTGAAAAACCCCTTCTTGTTGTCCTTGACGTCCCTTGCCAGATTTAATTCCAGCTGGGCCTTAGCCTTCCTTGTCGCATCCCTGCACGCTCTGACAACGTCCCTGTATTCCTCCCAAGTGGCCTGTCCCCTTTTCCACATTCTGTACACTTCCTTCTTCTGCTGGAGTTTTGCCAGGAGTTCCTTGCTCATCCGTGCAGGTCTCCTGCCCGCTTTGCTGGACTTCTTCCTCAGAGGGATGCACTGATCCTGAGCCTGGAGGAAGTGACGCTTGAATATTAACCAGCTTTCTTGGACCCCTCTTCCTTCTAGGGCCCTCCCCCAGGAGATTCCCCTAAGTAGGTCCCTCAAGAGGCCAAAGTTAGCTCTCCTCAAGTCCAGGGTTGCAATCCTACTCATTGCCCTGCTCCCTCCTCGTAGGATCCTGCACTCCACCATCTCATGGTCACTGCAGCCAAGAGGACCTTCACATCTCCAACTAGACCTTCTTTGTTCGTTAGTACAAGGTCTAGCATTGCACCTCTCCTCG